GAAAAGGTCGTTTTACCCCGCGTTGACGTTTCTCGTCGGGCGACACGTCTTGGCAATCTCGAGATGCGAGACGCGAGCTCGGCGACGAACGCTGGCCCGATGTTTTCTGACGCGACCGACCGCGCGGTTCTTCCTTGGAAATAACTGTTGCTTTTTCAGAGCGACTTTCGCAGCGTGTCGACTTCCAGATGTTTCGCCGAAGAGGCGCGAATGAAACTCAATATCCACTTTATTCGCCGTTCGCGCCGGCAAAACCGACGCGCAAATAAAGTGTAACGTGTCACACGACACAACGTGTGACACGTTACGTTACACCGTACGTTTAATTTGTTGAAAAAAAAAAGCGTTAAAGTATTGGACAATTGTTTCCTATTGTCAGTACACCGCGAACCTTTACGAACCAACGTCGATAGATGCAATATTTGCCACGCGATATCGCTGGCGTATATTTTTTATCCATCCGTTATTTGCGCAGTTATTTCGGAAATTAATTTATTCCCATCTGATGTGAGCTTCAATGGGTGATTTTTAAACAATTAATTGAAGCGACCCGACCAAAACGCCTCTCGTTTCTCTCTTTGCGTCGTTTACGACGTCGAAGGGTGCGAAGTTTGCTCTTCTGAACTACGGATCGGGGATGATTTTTTTGCGCGTCTCACGCGCACCTTTAAATAGCCGATTGTTCCGCCCGAGGGAATATCGAGAAATGGGGCTTGCGGCTTGGTTGATACGTGCCTGCACGCAGTGACGTCATCTCTCTGTAAAGACGATCAATATACGTGTTGGAGAACGTCAAAGGACTCCTTGGCACGTCAGCGTTAATAATTATTATCAATTGTCGCGCTGTCAATGACTCGCGCCAAGTTAACGGCGCTTGCTCGCTGTCGTTGACGTTTCAATTAATTTCCCCCGTGATTTCGAATCTTTTCCCCGACTTGGGTTACTTGAGTAAGCGCCCGTCTACAATAGAGATTTAAACCCCGAGTCTTAAGTAATTGACTAATCACAGCCGCGTATTCTACTCGTACTTGACCGTGATCGGTCAATTTCTTAAGGGACGCTGGAGTGATTCTGCACTTTCGCACCCTTTGCACTTAAAACCGTCTGTTTCGCGGAAAGATTTGTACAATATAATATACAAATCCCAAGGAGAGCAAAAAGTCGGGATGATGTCAATTTGATGTCATATTGACCAAATTTATGTCCAATTTTGGTCAATGTGGCATCAAATTTCCCAAAATGTGACACAAATTTGGACAATATCATTCTGACTTTTTGTTCTCCTTGGGATTTAAATGGCTTACGTGTACTGATCGAAAGCAGCTTGCCATTCCGGCTAAATTAAAGAACAATGTGGCATCACTGAAACTAAGTTTGTAAGTCTAATAAAAAATAATAGTGAGCATGTACCACATGTGCCGTATGTGTTGAACATTTCTACAATGTTATCGGCACAACAGTCAACAGACGTATACGAGTAAATTCCCGCAGATGTTTATGAGATTGGATGAAGGGTGAAGTGTACAGAAAAATAGTAGTAAATACACGAGACATTCAAGTAGCTCTATCTCGGAAACAGTTCATATTCATGTGAACATTTTTGCTTAAAATGACCGATACTATCACCTCCCAGAATATTGACCTTTCCTCCTGGAACACCCTGTATAAGAATTGACTACACACAAACCTTAAGGTTTGTTTTCTGTTCCTGCACTGGTGAACTAGTGCAGTAAGGTAGAATGAGAAAATATACGCTTGTCTTACTCTAATTTATTGCACTAGTGTAAGAACAGAAAACAACCCTTTAGTGTGCACTCAGTGCGCACTAGTGCAAGCAATCGAATCCGCTATTAGCGAAAAATCTTACTCGGCGGCTGCAATATTCATAAAGACACTTCTTTTAAATATGTATTGATTCGATGCATAAACACGCCGCGTACATGTTACGTGCGCGAGAAATCTAATTACTAAAGTATTGATTTCCCTTCTATTGTGTAGTGTGATATAAATATCACACTTTTATATAGTTGCGGTAAAGAATGTCACTTTATAATTTATTCTCCGTTAGAAAAAAAATATATAGCTTGCAAAAGTCGCCAATTACAATTTCGTATTTCAAACACTACGAGACGTAAAATTAATAGCTGCCTCAATCACTCGCTTTGTTATCCAAGCTATAGTTATTGTCCTGGGATAAAGAATGCGATGTACAAGCTCACACGATTCCCTAGGGTCAATTCTTACAATATAGTGAAAATGCTAAAAGTGAGCGACTTTGTCTCTTTCCAAGGAGACGGTCAGAAAGAGACAAAGCTGTTCACTTTTAGCATTTTTACTATAGTGTAAGATACAGATTTGACCCCTCTGAGAATTTCCCTTCTATTGTACAGTGCGATATAAATTTTACATTTTTATATAATCGCGGTAAAGAAACATCATTTTATAATTTATACTCTGTTAAAAAGATATAGCTTATAAACTTCACCAAAGAAAGTCTCACGTTTCAAACACTGAGACGTTAAATTAATAGCTGCCTCAATCACCCGCTTTGTTATCCAAGATATCGTTCTATCCGCGGATAGAGAACGCGCGTATACAAGCTCGCGCGATTCCCCGGGAATTTGCCATTCGGCTAATTAATTCTCTCACGTCGCAGAGATTATGAACGAGGTGATCAAGCAAAAGAAGAAGACAACAGGTGGGGTGGAATGGCGTATCCTGGTGGTGGATCAGCTCGCCATGAGAATGGTGTCCGCCTGCTGCAAGATGCACGACATCAGCGCGCAGGGTATCACCCTGGTCGAGGATATCAATAAGAAGCGCGAACCTCTGCCGACGATGGAGGCCATTTACCTCATCACGCCTTGCAATCCGTCGGTGCAGAAATTGATCGACGACTTCAGTAACCCGACGAGAACCACTTACAAAGTCGCCCACGTGTACTTCACGGAAGGTATTTGCCACAATTGATCCCGCAGTCTCGTTCTAAGGATTTCCTCCTCTCCCAACGACGAGTCCAAATTGTCCGACAATTTTTCCCCGAGAAACTGCGCAATTTCATTTCGTAGATTATTTATCAAAGTAGATGCCAAAGTAAGTGCAAATTCTTCAAATAATCCTCTCTCAACGCGCAATTTAATTTCGTAAAATGTTTATCGAAGCAAATGCGAAAGCAAATGCAAGTTCTTTTTGTTGGAAATAATCCTTTCTCAATAAATCAATGTATGCAAAATTGATCGTAATTTGGCAATTTGCGCAGACCACCTCAATATAATTCAATCCGAAGTTAAATTAATATTTACTCAAACTTAAACATAACAATTGTGCTTGCCGATATTAATTTGTTAGAGTATTTTTAATATTAAACTCTTAATATATTTGAGATATGTATTATATAACAATATAATTAGACACCTTAAATATTTTGCTTAACAAGTTATTCGAGAAATTCGCTCAATTAAATCCCCATTTATTCCTACCGATTCCAACAACAGGTCTCCATACGAGTGTGACCGATCATCTAAATTCAGCGTAGCGATGCGGGTCTGCTATATAGATTCTTTCATTAAATATAAGTTAATAAACTCAGTGATATTTTGAGAAGAACAGTCGTACAAGATTAATCAATTCTATCTGTGTCTTTTTAACTTCTCGTGAATCGACATACTCAGTGTATCTCTTTGCAGCATGCCCTGACGAGTTGTTCAAAGAATTGTGTCACTCGCTGGTAGCTAAGCACATAAAGACACTAAAAGAGATCAACATCGCTTTCATACCGTATGAAGAGCAGGTAAAGCAACGAACGCTGTGAAAAGGAAAATGTTTAACCGTTTCATCCTTCGTGGTGGTGGGCATATACACGCGCACACGCGCACACACATCACACACAGAGAGACACGTTGTGAAACAATTATTTATTTACGCGTTCTACGTCCACTTCTCGGTCTCTAATCACGTAAATTTAGTCGTACGGGTCATCCGGACGTCAATCGGGACGATATTAATACAACGTTATCCTCTCATCCCATCTTGTCCAGTCCATCCTTGATGACTCACGAACAAGCACATACTAATAATCAGAATCCATTCATGCTTGCAATCGACGCCAGTATGCCCGGAGGAGCTGTTCAATGAAATCTGCAAGTCTCTTGCCGCTAAAAAGATCAAAACCCTCAAAGAGATCAACATCGCATTCTTGCCGTACGAATCGCAGGTGACGATTAAGCAGACGAAATTAATAGAACACTAGTTGTAGCTCTAGAGCGCGAAACTCGCCTTTAGTCCACGAGCATTCTGCGAGCTTAGAGATTTCTCTGCTTTTACCGGATCGTCAGTTTACTTTTAGATTGCAAAAGAGTAGGCGACAGACTTCTGGTTGAGGGAAGTCTTCCTCACATCATTTTTCCTTTCGACTCAAAAATATCTGTATGTTGTACGTACATACATGCTTGTAATGTGGTCACAAATTGTCTGTATAGCCCGATTTCGTTTATTTTCAAATTTATTAATTCCGCATGCTTGTTTATCTTGCTTCAAGTAGAGGAAAGTCCCCTATTATGAGATAGCGAGGTATTTGTTAAATTCAAAGGCATCATCTGTTGATGCCACCGTGAATTTATTGCCCTTGGAGTGAAATCTGTTTGGTGGAAAATTTAGTGTTAGATTGTGTATAATCTGAAAGAAGTGTGTAATGCGAAAGAAGATTTGTGATTGAATTTGGGTGTTGAAAACCTGCTATTTCTTATTAGAAACCTATCCCTTAATAGAGGACTTTCCTCTATATACATATAAGTTTGTAATGAAATTAGCATATTTCTTTTCTGGTTGCGACGAGAATATCCCAAGACTAATTCTGACCGTCTTCTTAGGTCTTCTCGCTGGACTCGCGTGAAACTTTCGCATGCTTTTACAACCCCTCTTTCTTTAATTTGAGATCAGCCAATATGGAGCGTATTGCCGAACAAATCGCGACCCTCTGCGCTACTCTTGGTGAATATCCATCAGTTCGATATCGCAGGTAACTTTGATTTTTGCTGCGATTAAAAAAATATTAATAACTTGCCGTTTCTCTCCTTGTTGATGAAGAATAATTGTACGGTCATTGATAAGATTAAATAAATGCCATTTATATGTATCGTAGTGACTTCGATCGCAATGTCGAACTCGCTCAAATGGTGCAGCAGAAGCTAGACGCATATAAAGCTGATGAACCGACAATGGGAGAAGGGCCTGAGAAAGCGCGTTCTCAATTATTGATCCTAGATAGAGGATTTGATTGTGTCTCACCTCTGTTACACGAACTTACACTGCAAGCCATGGCGTATGATTTGTTGGACATTGATAACGATGTCTATAGGTAAGGAGGAAAGAGTTATCATAAATTTTAAATGACTTTATTGCAAACAAAAACTCCAAACAAGACTTTAATTCCGTGTAATATTGTACAGGTTTGAGGCAACAGCTGGTCAGGAAAAAGAAGTATTGTTGGATGAAAATGATGATTTATGGGTAGAACTCAGGCATCAACATATTGCCGTAGTATCTCAGTACGTATAAATACATGTTTCAAAAATTCCGTAAAAGATTAATAACCATAAAGGACATTTAAAAGTAACCTTACAACGTTATTTTTCAGGAACGTGACTAAAAATTTGAAAAAGTTTACAGAATCAAAAAGAATGCCGCAAGGTGACAAGCAGAGTATGCGAGACTTGTCGCAGATGATCAAAAAGATGCCGCAATATCAAAAAGAACTGAGCAAGTATGCCACGCATTTACAATTAGCGGAAGACTGCATGAAGCGCTATCAAGGAAATGTAGATAAGCTTTGTAAAGTGGAGCAAGTATGTAATATCGCAATCGCTCTAGTCCATAATCCAATAAAGTCTTTTTAATTGCAAGTATTTCAACCGTATTCTAGGACTTGGCCATGGGTACCGATGCAGAAGGTGAACGTATCAAAGATCATATGAGGAATATCACGCCGATTTTACTTGACCAGACTGTGAATCATTTGGATAAATTACGTATTATATCTTTATATGTCATCAGCAAGAACGGCATCACCGATGAGAATCTTAACCGTCTGGTTCATCATGCCCAAGTGTCTGTTGATGATAAACAGACTATCGTCAATATGGCAAATCTTGGCATGAACGTTGTTGTAGATGTAAGTTAAAAAGTTGCAAACTATATCTCGTATTAAAAAGTTTGTATAGTTATTCTGTTACTTGCAACACCATTTTACAGAGCAATCGTAAAAAAATGTACACGGTACCACGTAAAGAAAGAATTACGGAGCAAACTTACCAAATGAGCCGTTGGACTCCAGTTATCAAGGACGTTATGGAGGATTCTATCGAGGATAAACTTGATTCTAAACATTTTCCGTTCCTTGCTGGACGTGCAGCCAGTTCAGGATACCATGCACCAACCAGGTATATAATATTTTTTTTCTTTATCTAACTCTGTTATTTGGTTTCTAAAAATATTAATGCCAACTTGCAGCGCACGATATGGACACTGGCACAAAGACAAAGGTCAACAGACCATCAAGAATGTTCCTCGTTTGATCGTTTTTATAGTCGGTGGAGTGTGCTATTCTGAAATTCGATGTGCGTACGAAGTTACGAACGCATTAAAAAATTGGGAAGTCATAATTGGTAAGGATTTTCGATAATCTACTATACAAATATGAAATAATCATTTCTAATCAAAATACGATTAAATAATGTACCCACTATCATGAAATATTTATGTATGATTGCAGGTTCGTCCCATATAATTACACCGAAATCATTCATGAACGACTTGAGTAAACTACACGTCTAAACGATCGTATATCCAACAGAAGAGATAACATTCCTGAATTCCTAATTTGCCATTAGCTTCAATTCCATCAGTAATACCAGCTACGAAGCCACAAATGATCTCGAGTATGAAATTAGAGTATTTAACTAACAATAAGTAACGAACACAGAGTCAATTCTTCAGGCGAGGGCGCCTCATTCCGGAAATATTAAGCAAGTATCCCGTTGTCAGTTGAATAACAATGAAAGTATTCGTGTATTAATCGAGCACGAAGAGTCTTGATCAGACCGAGTTATCAAGTGCCTGCGCGAATACATAATCATCAAAGATCGGTATAAGACACTTTGGCAATACTGATTGCACGAAACTGTACAATGGTATCGAGCCTTTCAGTGGTATCATAATCGAGTCTTTAGCAAAACTCTAGAGATATATTCGTGATCACTCTTTGTCGGTAATGAAAAGGAATTTATGAAGATGTATGTCATAGAGAAGGATCGTGATATTCCTGTACATTTCTCGTTACTAGTATTTTGTTATTTTTTCCTTGTGTTCAAGTTGACATCTTAAATGTAGATTGTTTTCGTTCGTCGAGCATACTTTCACTACCTCTAAGAAAATTCTATTGTAATAGAAACGTCAAATCTAAATGTCACGTCGCATTTCGCTTTATTCTCTTCACATTATCGGTGTAACAGAACCGTTATTTATTCGATATTATTATTATTACTTAAATCTAATTAATAGTATTCAACGTAAAGTGAAATCGCTAGATGTGTACAGTTCGACACTTGTTCTTCCTTTGTTAACTTATTTATCTGCATTTTCGTCGTTTTACGCACTCACGTACACGCTTCAGTTAATGTTTGCCAATTGCCAATTCAGACGCTACATTTAATGTAACTTATAAGTATATAATATTCGTGATATACAATGTTCAGCTCTCTCTTTGACAAATTTAACGATTAGTCATTATTTCTGTTGAATGTAATACAGATAAAAGTATAATATACCAATATGTATGTACGTATCGCAAGATCTATCGCAATCGTTCCATGGTTGTGATAAAGAAGCGCTTCTCCCGATCAGAAGCTTGCGCTTGTTGATGGATAATAATGGTAATAATTATTAATGTAATGTCAATAAATGTTGCGATCTACTAGCTGAGAGATTATTACAAAGTTAAACGATATTTATTAAGTATATCCTGTTACATATATGTATGTAGATTATAGCCCGAGTAGTGTTATATTATAAAGGCCTATGTTGCGCTCTACTCTTGAGTCTTCTTTCAATTATCACTATACCACATCTACGCCAATTCAATACAAAGTTATATAACAGAATATAATAAATACGTCAGGAAAAGATCTACTGAGATGTGTGATGTCTTATTTATTAGAAATGTCGTGATATGCCGATAATAGCTCAAGTTTCCGAAGGTTATCAGTAACAGGGTCAACAAAACTAATCACTTTAAAGCCGAAACGCAGCGGACTTTAGTACTGAATACTGTTACCAGCTGTTCTCTTTCTACTAATTTAACATTTTATAATTTCTGCTCAGAGCAAAACAGTGAAAAATGTCAGAGTCAAGAGGAAAAGTAATTCTAGCGTACAGTGGTGGTTTAGATACCTCTTGCATATTGTTGTGGTTGAAAGAAAAAGGATATCAAGTTGTCGCTTATGTGGTAAGAAATTTTGTAACTATGTAAATCCTCGCTGCAGCAAGTAGACATGAGAATTTACGATTTATTTAGGCGAACATCGGTCAAAAGGAGGATTTCGATGTAATTAGGGACAAGGCGCTCAAAGTTGGTGCCGCAAAGGTAAACTTATCTCTTTGCCACGAAACATTTTATAACGAAACAAAGTTGCGTCTCTTATTGACGAAGGTGCGTAACGAGAAATTCGATTATTGCCAAGGTCGTGATAGATGATGTTAGAGAAGTGTTCGTAACTTCCTATGTATGGCCCGCTGTGGCTTGTGGCCTGTTGTACGAGGGAAGATACCTTCTGGGTACTGCCATAGCACGCCCGTGTATCAGTCAGGGTTTGATAAAAGTCGCAAGGGCCGAAGGTGCCGGTATCATTGCGCATGGGGCAACTGGAAAGGGGAACGATCAAGTTCGCTTCGAGTTGAGCTGCTACAGCCTGTACCCTGGAATCACGGTATTCTGCTCTATCTTATCAACGATTATTTTACGAGAAGTAGAGATTGTTACCCAGATAGCACAAGACACTCCTGTGAACATTTCAAGAATATTTGGAATATTCCATAGGTCATTCTTATATATTTTATACATTTATAGAATATTCGATTGAAATATTCTGAAATTAAGAATATTTGCACTCCAGAAGAATATTCATAGAACTGTGTGTGCTATCTGGGTATAAGCAACACCCAAGGAGTCGAAAAATAAAAAGAGAAAATTACCTTTTATATAATAGATAATTCTTGATTTTCACGGAAACGTACTCTTGTTTAGCGAGAAAATGTAGTCGATCGTATTGAGACATGACAGTCGTGTCAGAAGCTGTAATAGTTAGGGCATAAAAGATTATAAAGATTTTAGCTCCGTGGAGAGAAGTCGAATTTTACGCCAAGTTCCAAGGAAGATCGGACTTGATGGAGTACGCGCGACAAAATGGAATCCCGATCTCAGCAACGCCGAAGGAACCGTGGAGCACTGACGCTAATCTCGTGCATATTAGGTACAATATAAAACATTGAGAAAGAGGCTGTTAAGAGGGCTTTAATCTCACAATCCTAATTTGTATATGTAGTTACGAATCAGGAATACTAGAGAATCCTGCCGTTCCAGCCCCGAAAGGACTCTATAAAATGACCGTCGATCCGACCGATTCCGCTCTGGAAGCGGAAGAGATCGAAATTAGTTTTAAGAAGGGACACCCCGTTAACGTGAAGAGTTTGAAGGATGGGAAGATATTCGACGTTCCTCTTACGATAATCGAGTATCTCAATGAGGTCGGAGGTGCGCACGGTATTGGACGGATAGACATCGTAGAAAATCGTTACATCGGAGTGAAGGTGTGTCCTCCTTATGAGGCTTGTCCGAGCAGAAGAAAAATTCATTTAAAATTCAAGATGACGTGAAAAAGTAATCATTTCTATAAAGCCAAGATCATACCATTTAACACGTTCAATACATTGACTGTTTTTTTATTTAACTTTTATGACTGTACCTTGACTTTTTTAACTTCTCCAAGAGAACGTAAATCGGTCGTGCGTGCGAATGAAAATCTCACGCATATTATTTTACGAATTTGGGAAAATATCTGATTTTTGAAGCATTGTTATGCCGATTTTTCATCCCAAAGATATAAAATAAAAACTCAATAATACAAATCTTACAAAATATTGAAAATTGCACTTTATCATCCAACATATTCTTATCATAATAGTATTTTTGTTAAAAAGAACATTTGATATTAAGTCCTAATTAACATACAATTATAAGTATCGGAAATAATCTAAGTTTAAGTTATCACGAATTATGTCAAAGCAGCATCTTTAAATTTCAAGATCAAAATTAAAATAATGCGATGAATTTTCTGTCATGATCGAAATATGACTCTTGGTAGTCAATTATGATATCAAGTTGATGTCACTTCTATAATACTTCATCACGACTTCCTGTTCTGCCTGGGTATAAGCTACTTCTTATTGAATAAACTGTACGAACGCAAAATAAGTAACGATATATGCGCAAACATTTCAGTCTCGAGGCATTTACGAGTCGCCGGGCGTCAACATCTTGGAGACCGCGCATCGCGACCTCGAGGTGTTCGCCTTGGATCGCGAGGTTCTGAGGGTCAAGTCGTACCTGACGGATAAGATGTCGGATTATGTTTATAACGGTAGTCAGATGCGCGGGGACGCAATATACAGAACTATAAGATAAAATATAAGAATTGTCAGAGTATCTAAAGAAATTGGATTAATTTCTTAAAAAAAAAATGCCTCGCAGGGTTCTGGTTCTCGCCGGAATGCGACTTTGTACGGGAATGCATCCAGCACTCGCAGAAATATGTAAACGGCACAGTGAGGCTGCAGCTGTACAGGGGAAAAGGTTGGTAGATTTGCGCGAAATTTAATTAGAACCACGAAATTCACCGTTCAACAGTTCCCAATAAATATACACGATGGTATATTAAAGTTAGTACACAGTGGTACAATTATACTTTTACGCTACTTTGTTTGATATATCATCGTGCGTATTGGGTTATACTTGGCACGAACAAACGCGAATATATTTTATTATATCTGAGATCAACGAAAGGACATCATTTCCTGTTGCAGCTATGGCGATCGGCAGATCGAGCGAGGTCTCGCTGTACAACCAGACCCTCGTGTCGATGGACGTGAAGGGTGACTTCGAGCCGACGAACGCCACTGGATTTATCCGCACGCAGGCTCTGAGACTGAAGGAGTTTTATCGGTTCAATAAACAACACAATGCTTGAATCAAGACTTTATTGCGAGTTTCATAAGTTTCAATAAAGGACGCACAGTTGCAGTTAGCTCGACGCTACTTTATTTCACCCTAAACGTCTACGCGTCTGGTCCTCCAGACGCAATTCGATATTCCGTAAACGACTGAACGGTTTTTTCCGAAAGGTTTGCAAGGTGTCGCAGCAAGAAGAGTAATCGTGTGACAAAACGTAATTAACTCTAGGACAAAATCCATCTCTCTAGAAGTCCAATCGCTCTTGCGGATCTCGCGCATGCGGCGGTTTATGGGAGGGAGGTGAGGTTTCGCAATAAAAAAACACTACCACTACATCTTTTTTGTTTTCACTTTAGTTATTAATTAAATCTTAAAATTACCTTAGCATATACTCGTGAAGATTATAATGTAATGTACCATACCTTTTAAGAATATATTAATAATAGTATACACAGTGCGTGCACGTGTGTGTATCTTTCTCTCTTTTTCCCCCCAGCATATATGTACTATCTCGGCATAGCAACTTAAGGAAAGAAACTACTGTCAAATACGAAATCACGACAGCGCCTTCGTACTGATACATCCATATATCCAGCTATGAGCGATTTTCTGTACAGACCTCTTATACTCGCGTTCTGTTCCGCATACTCTCCGTTTTACATATGTATGTATTATGTAACATGCAAAATTACAAACTAGGGAAGGTAATTCCTCATGCATATACAATGAATAATCTGTAGTAACTCTTGTATTCACATTTGCACGTTAATGTTAGTTCAAATATCGTAGTAAACCTGTTATTTTCCTTTTTTATTTCTGATGATTAATAACAGGTAATATATATTATAGGTTGATGTTGTTAAATAAGCAGAGAAAAGTACATATGTACGTACACATATGCACATATATATATAATCGATCAGAGTTGTAAATAGTATGCACTCTTTATCATAAAAAAAAATTGGTCTTTTGTGCAGCATCAATTGTATTAACCTCTAAAGAGTTAATAAAAAAAAAAGAAGGAAACTAAAGTGGTCCAAAATCTTCGTTTATCTTAAATTTTTTAACACTTTGCTAATAGATTATATTAAAAGATTGGAAAAATTGAAACTCACTGTAGCGCTGTACGAATCAGTGTTTTTAATTCGATTTATTTATAAAAAATTATATTTAACATAAATACCAAAGTAAATTTACGAGCTAGCATCATCGATATAACGAAAGAAGGAAATGTAGGTACATGAACGCAATCAACGCTCGATTAACAATCGCTCTTTCTCTCACTCATTCTCTCTTCCTCTCCTTTATTTAACAACATCAAGCGTATATTTCATCCATTTATTTTCTCATTTCGTTATTATTTATGTACAACCAGTTTAACTGTTTGCTATCGTTAGTCGTAGTAAGTTTGCTAAAATTCGTGTTCTATTGGAGATGATGTGCGTTCGTGGGAACTTATATAAAAAATTACTTTTTGATACAGAGCTGAGTGATTTTGGTGTTACTTACGAAGTATGGGTGTATGTTGCTTATATTTTAACTTACTCTGAGATCCTAATCGGTTATACACTCTATCGTTCATACACAATCTGTACGGCTTTCTTATAAATCTTATCACATAGATAAACATTTCTATTATTCTATATGCTTCCATCTTAATGTTGTATTTTACATAGATATTCTTATATTCTAAACGTAACTAATTTCTCCCTGTACCTATATACAATTACAAACTATAAATATACAATCCTAATAACTATTGTACGCGCTCTTCTCTTTCTCTCTCACACTTTTCTCATTCTCCCTCTCCGAATTATCCTTCCCCTTTTATCATGTATTTATTTCAACCCTTTTTGTTTCTTTTCCAGTTATTACACCTTGCTACGCAATAGTATTCATTCGTGCTGGTCAGACATATGAATCCTGAATATGTAATAACAAAAAAGAAACAAAAACATTTAATAACATTCGTTTTGTTTAAATAATAAACAAATTGTTAAGTAAATTATTGGCAGAAACACTGTGCAATTTATCAGTTATATCATTAAATTGTATGTTCACGCTGTTAGTATCAAACTCTGTAAGAATTTCGAGTATAATTCTTTAACATACTTCAATTGCTTCTGCCAATAATTTACTTTACAATTTTACTATCTTAAAAGTTATCGTGACGTTATCATATTCGTCAAAAAAAACCGTTAATAATTTCAATCGAAAAAAAAGTTTGTCATCGAAATTTACGAAATGAAACAAACTATCGAAATCACTTCAGATTGTGCTAGTTTTTTTGGTTTTTTTTTTTTTTGTAAACTGAGCATAATGTCCGATGCAGCAGTTCGCATATAAAAAACACAATCGACGTATTTTATTAATTTTTATACATTGTTAAATCGTTAATTTCGCAAAAAATTTATCTACCTTCTTAAGTTTATATATCAACAATAATATATCGATGACTAAATCATTTGTGTATACTAACTGCGCGAATATTACTATCGCAGCATATGGATAGCATATTTTAAGAATAAGATCATAGATCTTTCTTAATTTTGATTACATAAAAAGTGCGAATAGGCGCTCGTACGGGGCCTAAAGACGCATTAAAAATGAAAGATTACAGAAATAATCTAATATTGCCAGACGTTGACAATCAATGAAAGCAGGATTGTTACGGATATTGTAATACCAAACAATACCCAATAATGAAAATCGTGCCTGTATTGAAGGGCTCTTTCGTTTTGCTCCTTTTATCTCTAATACACGAAATAATGACAATAGGATTGCGAAGGACGGCATGAACATTCGAAAGTGGCTTTTCTATAGTCAGTACAGTATTCTCGGTTTTTTTGTCAATCTACGTTATTTAGACATCTCCAAACTTGATCTTTAATAGAGAGCTCGAGGAATTATGATGCTTGTCGAAGAAAAGATTTGAAAACTTGAGTTTAGCAAGATCTTTTCATCTCACTTTATACGTATTCATTCGATTAATCTTGGTCGATAAACCAGCATAGTCCCTAATTATATAAAAATCATGATTTTGTTTAAAATGTGCAAGTTTCTGACAATATGATCACTTTGGATTAATCACCTGACAAACCGCGCCACCATAACGATTGCTCATTGCCGACAAGCACCGCCATATTTACAACAAATAAACTATACAAGTTTATAGATCTTAAAAAAATAAAATTGCTGTTAAACAAATAATTTAATAGCACTATTTTTTATTTATATTTGGCATATCATTAATGCCGTTATGACCGTGTAATCTAAATACTTTTAAGAAATTAACATTATGATCACAATTAATGAAAACATTGCTTTATTAATCTGTTTTTGTACTTTTTGGCCGATTAAATTTTTTTTTCATTTTTCAGTTATTCATTTACTCGATTCGCACATCTTGTTCGGGCGGCTCAATTATTAATTGGGCCACGCCCGAGTACTCAGCATATAACTTCCGCCCTGCTCACTCATGATACGTCAAATTTAAACAGATTTTAAGATATTTTATAGATTATACGTAAATATTTCCTCCAAAAGAATTTCTTTTATATTTTTATAACTTCTCAGTATCGTGGAATACACCCTCTAGTGGCCGAATAAATATAATTCTTTTCTAATAAGTGTTACTTGTACAGCATCGCGATTTCCTCTTCCACGAGCTTCAAGTATACCAAGAATTAGGTACGTAGTCTGATCTAATAGTTGGTAGGATCGGAACTACTTCAATTCTAAAATTTATCTTATCATTACTCGTAATAATTGACAGCATTGTTCTAAAGTGAGTTAATGAATAGCTTTGAATCGACCAGTTGGCTCGCAATAACTCTTGAATCAATCACAACAGTATACGCTGTTAAATATTCTGATCGATCAGCAGTTGATCAATTGAAGTCACAAGTGGACAGCCGTGATGATCGTTATTAAATTTACCAAGTTCTTGGATGTTCGTATTATCTTATATTTTTCTATCGTTATTCACATATACGCCTAGCTACTTTTGTGATTACAAATAGCGTATATGAATAATCGAGAAAAAATTTGCAATATTATTAATGATAGTTAATAATTACATGTATTATTGGCAGAAACACTTTTCTACGTAATCCTACCAACGATTAATGACTCAATGTGGAAAAATACAAAACTTAACTAAATGTACACGATTTTTACTCTTCTTCAAGCCGACATTCGTATCTACGCGCACACATTCGGTTATCACACATGCAACCCTCTCTTATTATATAATATATTGTTTCCAAATTTACATAAAGTACAAACTTATGAAAACCGGAAAAACACAAGTAGTCAGTTTAGTATTTTCGATATATAAGTATTTATCTAATTACATAGTCGCACTTAAGTGTTTTGTCGTTCTAGAGACAATACAGTTCGTCTCCGCTTTAATAAGCTGTTTGAATCTTCTGACAACCAAATGGGGGTTTTCTGTTGGAATGTCCCAACTGTACCACCATTTTATGATAATTAGCAACACGGCCTATGTCGTTATCGTTATTAGTCATCTTTCATTGTGTTGTTTTTGCTGATTTTGCATTTAAAGATTTCTACAACATTGTTCGACCCAAACGTACGTCCGAATTCTGCCAAGTTTTTGTGGATTTATTATAAACAGGATATAGTAACATTATAAAGATTCCTCAAACGCAGCCATCAAATCGCTCTGCAAGTTCATGTCAATTTGGCTAGCCATCTGAAAAGATAAATATAACCATTCTTCGCAAATCCCTTTAACGTGGGCGTCGAAAGTTTTCATGTATTCTTACATAAATCTACTTAGAAAATCAAATTTACTACAAATTATATCGCGAGTTATAAAGTAAGCAAATTATAATAATTAATAAAATTGACATTACACGATGCTATATAAACTTTATTTTTGTTATATCTTATTTAATAATTATACTTTATTTGTTTATTTGTCAGTCTTGTGTAACATGCATGTAGTGTAATAATTAAAATTCTAAATAATATATTATTAAGCCGAAAATTGGTTAAACTGTCAAGTTATATTCAGACCGTGCAAGAACATAATGTTTGTCTTTTATATATAGATTGAATGTGTAATTAAGATTTTTCACATTTATAATTATCGCACGGATCTCTAACGTTGTCCATTTTAACTTAACAATACTATTTTTATATTAAATATTTTCTATTATTTTTGGTTGAAAAATTACAACGATAACAAATTTCATGGATACGAAAATATTAAGTACTTACCGCTTCTCGTCGCCGGCGTTCTTGCTCCCGTTGCCTTAGACGTTCTCTTTCGGCAGCGGACTTCTCTTGACTGGACGAATGACTCGGACTACTGCTATCTGTGTCAGTAATGGCCTTTACTTCTTCCGCTCTTGTGGTGGCAGTCATAACATTGCTCTGCTGATCTCCAATATTTTTCCTAACTTTGTCCAGAGCATCTTCCTCCTCTCGTTCCCGTCTTCTTTCATTTTCCTGTCGCAATCTCTCTCGTTCGGCTTGCTCCTTCTGCTGTCTGCGCATCTCTTGTTGCTCCATTAATGCTCTTTGCTGTTTTACAAATATTAATACGGAAATATTATAACAGCTGGATATGCGTTACATGACATACATAATTATTTTGCAGAATTAACTAACCCTATCCTGTTTTTCTTTAGCTTGTTTTTTGAATGCCTGAAATGAGTCTCGTGCTGCGCTTTTCATACTACTTCCTGCAGCTGCCGATTGAGGACTTGAAGCTTGCGCCAGGGAAGACCAGGATGATGCGTTCTTTACGTTCTGCTCTACAGTCTGTAATCGAAAGCATGTGTTAATTTTTAACGCAACTAAAATTCTTTTACTTACATAGTTATAAAAATCTACATATAAAGAAATATATAAAACACATACCAAAGATAATATTGAAAAGTAAATTTATGCTTTTTGTATGTATAGTTCAATTTAAATTTTGAGCGAAGAATGGCGATAGAAAAGCGATGAGAGAAAGAAAGTTCCGTTGATCTCTTAAGATTCAGCCCAATTGACTTAATACGCTATGCACTGTTCGTCTCTAAATGTATTGACCTCCCGCCGTCTTACGGGGTTGGCTGTGCGAAATCGGTTTTCTCTGTCGGGGCAACGTGCCACAGAACTCTTTTCGAAAAGTACCTCCTCGCGTTTAATAATCAATGTGATTCACCGGCCGACCGACTGTTCTGTTTACAGCGTGAACACTCGAGCGTCAGACACTACAGATTACGATATGCGTAGCATCGAGTCGCGAAAAGAAATATAACATGAAAATTCAACAAAATAAAAGAAATTAAAGCGTTCACCAATTTACCGTCATTATTTATCCAAAATGTCTGTGCTGATACGTGTGCGTTAGAATGTGTGTACGAGTGTCTACATACGAAACTTAATTAGCATTCTGACGGTGGAATCGCCACAAAATATTTAGGGAATGACCCATGTACCTTATTTTTAAAGGCTGACGCAAAGTTTGCAGCAGGATTCTTCGAGTCGGGTGGGGTCATTTTCTTTTCAGACATCAATTGAGAGCTGCCATGATTAATCAACGGTGCCAATCCTAGGGTGTTCATTTCTGCAAAATAAGCTCCCGCTAGAGCAATAATATTATACGTCTAGTTAGTAAGCGAGTACAGCAGTTACATGTATAAAGCAGCATTGTTAATTGATAAAGATTAGATTATAATAACAACAAGATTGAGCATATCATAAGAAGTAAAAAAAGTAAATTTGTGTGAAATTATTAAGCTATTAGCATTGAATCAATTGATATACGAGTATATCATATCACGTGTACCTTAATTTTTTTATACAACACGTTTCTATTTTATCAATTGTCGTATCAATATCTTTTTCAAAATTATTTCTATAGTTGTATGTGCAATAAATATAAATTTACTAATATTTTGAACTAAAAGAAGATGAACAAGCAATCTACATGCAAGTTTAGAGGAAAGCATACTGCAAATGTATAAATATATAAGTGTAATACACGAACCATCCATAGGCTTTTGCGTCAGTTGAGGTTGAGAAATCGGCAAGGGCTTCTCTTCTTTTTTTACCGGAATCTGAGAAATTTGCATCGATGGTATAGGAAGGGGATCAAATATCGAGCCCATGCCTACATTCATTCCAATGTTCAGTCCTGGAATGCCGTTATTGTTCAGCATATTGGGCGGTGAATTTCCGCGTTTTGCATTTGGAAATCCGTTGGAATGCTGCTGCGACATCGTAACGTTATGCGAATTTTGTATATTAGCCAACGGCGCAGTAGTATTAATCATATTTTCTAATTGATTGTGCATAGAAATGTGCGTCAGTCCTTGCGACAAATTCATATTCAAATTTGTCATATTAATATTGCCCAAGTTCAGATTAGAAGCCATATTCGTCGGCATCATATTCACAGATTTTACATCCGATAGCAAATTGAGACTGGTATTGTTATTAGTATTATTCGTCGTATGAGACGTTTGGATAAATGAAGGCTCCTTCTTAACAGCAAGCGTTTGATCCAAAGTAGGTTGTGTTGGAATAAATGAAGCCTCCTTCTTGATTGCAAGGGTTTGATCCAAGGAGGACTGCGTAGTAGGCACCGAAGCTATATAAAATACATATAAACATGATTACTTTGCACTTGAATTTTCGTGTAATAAAATTACTTCACGCGTAATATATAAGCACAATATTATAAGCACAATACTAATAATCGTATCTAATGATAGATACCTAAAGTATTGTATGGTTGTAAAAGATCAGACTGTTGATTTAAATTTGTTCCGTCTGTGGACACGGATGTATTTGCATTTGGAAAGGAACTAATGGATGTTGGTGGCTGCTGCGGTGGTTGTTGAGATACAGCTGGCGAGGCTGTTATAGAATTTGTATTTGTAGGTGTGACGCTGGGCGGTGGAGTTGGTACGGAGACCGACGGAGTTGATGGGTTAGATGTTGGTGGTGGAGGTGGTGGCGGTGGTGGAGGCGGTGGTGGTGGTGGCGGTGGTGTTGGTGTTGGTTTTTTTACAGGAGCGGCCGTAGCCAGAGCTGTAGGTCGTGACGGTTGGGCTGGCATAGACGCGTGACTCGCGACAGGTATGCTTTGCCCTGTTGTAACAGCAGCCACTGCGACAGGCTGTTGATTACTATTGCCCCCTAAAAGAATTTTTGCACTTACGTCTATCTCATAGTCTATCAATTCTATATTTAATCGCATATATTAGCATCTTTTGTGTAATGACGCATATCTTTCTTCTTAGTAATTTATACATTACTAAAGATCTCTGTTAATAAAAAATAATATCGATAAATTATCTGTAAATTATCAAACGGAATAATTTACAAATTAGTAGTTGCAATATTCATACATTGTGCTGGATCTCAGAAAAACCACGGATATAAAAAAAACTCAAGTTAATTAATAAAAGAATTAACAAAATTAATTTAAAATTACAGTTACAAAGTTGTAATGTGTGTGTACAAGTGAAAACGTAAACGTAAGTGCCGCGGAACAGAACTTAATTTGTGTAGCTGTATTCAACGAGAACATCCCCAACGCGAAAATTGCTAATCGATATCGCAGTTATTTCATAATTTTATTAACATAGTACCTGATTCTGAAGGAATATTGCTTGCTTGGGTAACAGGCGGTTTTGTTATTGGTCCCGTAGAATTCGTCGGTGGTTGATTATTCATTAAAAGAGCTCCGCTATGATTTAATGTAGGTGCCTATATAAACAATATATTATCCTTCATATTAATATTCACATGAGAAAATTATTTGTTACAGGAGTTATATTAAGACAAGCAACGTTATAAACATCATATTGTGTACTTGCAATGTAATTTGCGCTAATCTTTTGAATGACTTCTGAATTCGAAGTTAGTACTTACAAAAATATCAAGGGACACATGAGAAAATGTGCACTGTCTAGAAAATGCTCACAACTTATTCATGATATGAAGAATAAGTATATATATATGTCTCATTTTCATTGACTTGTTACAATCATCACAACTTATTATCTTACCGGTGCTATGGTAGCAGTCGTTGCGGAAGCTCCTGTACTCGGTGGATTCTTCTTTGCTTTCTTTCTATGTGGACGATTCGAGGAGTTTCCTGAAATTCAATGTAATGTGCATCTAGTAGTGAGTTACGTGCAGTCAATCATTGTTCTTGTCACATCAAGAGACACAGGTCGATGGAGTACTAATACGAAATGCAAATGTGCAGAGAGGATACCAGCTAGCGAGTGTCGCAAAACGCTAAGTAAAATGCGAAAAGTAAACAACAACTCTGTGCGTATATTTTCTAATAGATTTTATTCATATGCTTATATTATAATTGTATCACTGTGTGTACAACAATGTTAATTTAAATATCTCAATTGTATGCTCCTTTTTTTGTGGACTTTCATCGTCATGATTCTTTTATATTAAAAAATTTTAATACGCAGAACAATTCTTTCTTTCCATTCTACGTAAAGTTAGTTGTATTCAATTCTTTCATGAATAATTGCGTGTGCATGTCTGTATGTATGTATACACGTACATACATACAGACACATCGCACGCGCGCCCACACATACATGCATACGTATCGCGGAATTGTCACACATACATATATGTCTCTGCATATATGCATGCGAGAGCACGCGCCTACTCTCGTCGTTTTAGTGTATTGATAATCATGATTTATTACAATAACAGTAATAATAATCGTTACGGTGGCGGAAATGACGATTATAAAATATTGACTACAAAAATCATCAAACTGCCGTCTGTCGTTTACTTCCTTTTTTTCCACATAATATAATATAATTAATGTAATATTATATAATAATAGGAGTAATGTGTAAATAAAGGTCACATAAATGGTACAATACAGGCTCAACTTAAAAATGAATGATACAAGAGCGGCAAACTCTTACAGAATTGTTTAATGTTAAAGTCGTAGTTAGCGCAACACTGAGATCGGTGGCAAGAGACTCCTGCTCGGTGTTCATCGTGTGTTACTACATATGTAAATCAGCGACGATGGTAGATACATGGAAAACTGTGATGCCACGAGACAATTATTTCACCTTTGTCCGATGTGTGCTCTTAAACAATTCGTGATCGCAACAATCGTGAAATCACAGCACTGAAATTTATCGATGGAATGTGATCGACAACCTTGGCTAAGCCCATTCGACGACAAATAAAAGAAAGGCAACGAAACAACGAGGAGGAGTACCAGCGTATCTTAATTTATATAATATAGTTAACTGGACCACCACATATGAGCCAACCGCGACTCTTGAAGAATTAATGTCTATTTCACTCTTTAACTTTGTTTATGCACTTAGAAAAGTTTCGCGCGTCGTGTATGTCGGGTTTTTCCTCCATAAGTATAACTTACAACTATTTATTAATATTTTATGATATATTAGTTTTCACTATGTACAAAACACGTACGACCGTGTTTATCGTTACTATTAAACTCACGATACGCAAAAAACAGACGGAACGCTTACATACGACTCCGGAGAGGAAGATAGTTGGCGAAATTAAATAAAAGGTGTGGCGTTATCTTCTGCGAACAAAACGTTTCGAATTCTCAAATCTGCCCTCGCGTAAAACGCAAGCAGGAATCATTCATAGCAAGAAGAATGACGTTCCGGTCCTGAATGAAAAGACGCGGGAAAAGAAAAAGAAAACTTTAGATGCGTGCTCGCGTACAGAGTAATTGCTACAAAAATTTTGGAAGGCAATATGAATATCGTTTATAAAATGCCCTATTATACCTCGCGTTTATAAGCTAATGCTGATTGTATCTTAATAGATGTGTAATATCTATCTAATTCAGCACACGCCATCAAAATTTGTTCTCTTCATAGTCTAGCTAATCCTTCGGAATTCTCTAGTCACTTTCAGTTATCTTGGGAAACGTAAAATGATAATATTAACCTGCCCGACATTTTCTCGCACCTACTTGTAAATGCTTATAGTTCCATATCAATAATTTTCTTAGATATCGACGAACACTTTTTTTCTCCGACCAATTGCGGCTTGTTTGTATCGAGTTTATCGTAATTAATCGCCCGAACTCTTCTATCTCCTTCTCTTACTTTGTCGGGGCAGTAAGTACGTTGCTTTGAGTGTATGATTCATGATACTATTTAATTGTACTCGAGTGCAAATTCGATTATCCTTAATGCTCGTATTACGACATGTCAATTACAAGGATCGCTCCTTGGAGCATCCTAGAGCGGTCATTATCGGTTACGTTCACAATAAATTCTTATGTATACATTTTGCTACATGTAAGAACTAAATTTACACGATATATCTCAACAAAGAAAGAAACATTATTCTGGAGCAGACATTTACACATAGAAATATAAAAACAAAATAATTAAAATTAATATTGTTTAAATTCGTATAAAAGATTTTCTAAAAACAGTGTTTTGACAGGACACGCGCGAGTTAAAAAGTAATGTTATTTCGAAAATTATGATATAATATTCGTTACTTGAAAATTCGTGGTATTTACAACACATGTGAAGGTTCTAATTGCGACGAGAAACAAGGTGTATGCTTAACAGGAGAATAATTACTACTTCATATATTAAGGCATGTAAAACCACACCAATTCGTAAATCGTCATTGCAATAATGATATCAATTTCAATAGCAAGAAGACAGTATTTTTCAACTTTCCTTTTAATCGTTTGAGCGATGAGAAAACTGACAATGGTTTACCGATGAAGAACTAGTGGTAAATAGGATGATACGGCGATTAGCAAAGCTTAGCGGAGTGCAAACAATGTGTTTGGAGGCTAGGGCGCCTTGTGTATATATGTATATATACATATATATATGTATATATGAATTTGTCCATCTCCTTAACTTGTTTCCCTTCCTATCCCTCTCCCATTCCATCTGCTTTCTTCGTGCGTGATCGATCTTTCGATCCCTCTTTCTGTCTCTGTCGTCTCCTCGGTCTCATCTTACCTTCTACTCATTTACGCATTAACTTAAATATTTTGTATGTATATATATATACATATATATATATACATGCTCAAAGTCATTAATTTTATGGAAAAAAAACGAGATTTGTCAATTAGAATTCATCAGATGTAAATGTACTCCGCATCAATATACTTCTGTTGGAGATTCATAGAATAATTACTTTATTCGAATCTATGCATTCAGAGCAAGACAATAAGGAAGATTTGTATCAGTTTTCGCCTGTCTCACACAAGCGTTGCAACATCATTATCAGATTCGGCTTGTGGGAGACGAAACATTTAAATAATTGACTTGTTAAAAAGGAAGCACACATTTGGCTATGATAAGCTAAGCTTGAAATGGAAATTACTAAATCTGAGGTAACTAGGATTGAGTTTCTTCACTAAGAAGAACCTTGTTAGAACTGCTTTGCGGAGACAAGAGTGTAGCTTACTAGTAAAATGCAACGCGCAACTATGCTAATCTTAAAATGCACTGATTCGCAAATCTAGCCACCAATACACATTGTCTGCAATATATCACCCGTGTGTATCGCTATGATCACTACCTAATCTTTTTATCTCTTTATATATTCTTTACTTCGACCGATGTTATTCAACTTCGCATTAGTTTAAAATGTGCGGAAATGTGTGACCGTTTAGGAGCATAAACGCACTTCTCACGTCAGTATATTGATAATATTACGTGCTGCACACGCACTTTTTAGCTCGTGACGCATATTAATATCACTGTTCTAGATTCTGAGAAATGATACGGCATGAATGAATCAATATGCGAGAAAATAAACTTAATGATTCGAAAACACAGTGATACAAGTAATGTTCTTGCCTGTCGTTTAATGCAAATAAATAACGAGTTTGCGAGAATTAATATATTGCATTGTCTTTCGGGTTGTACATGGGGCAGTTTAATTATATCGGGGAAGAAAGCTACGATAAAACAGTTGTGTAACTTATTACAAGGTACTAATATTCAACACTACAGTCACGGCAAGAATACACTTTGCTCGGGTGTAATGTTGCTGATTGCAGGATGAGATCTTCCCAGACATTTTACTAACCTTAGTAGCAATGACTTTCTTACGAACCCAAAGGCGGAACTGCAGTGAGAAATTCAGTAACCTTGAGTTAGCAAGTTACACCTGACTTTCGAGCAACAGAATGTATCGTCAACACCGATAGGACAATAGAAAATAATCATATTGCTCAGAATTAATAATATAATTCGTGAAACAAGCTGGCATGGTATCCTCTAAACACAGTCTGCACTCCACTAGCTCACCTTTGTTCTTACCATTGCGTATGTCTCGTAAATTAAATAAAAATTCTATAATCGTGCATCAAGTTTCAACTCTTGTACACGATTCGTACATCTGCGGCACTTGCACAGCGAAAAATGTACAAAACGTTACGTAGACATGGCAAATCCTGTTCTATAGCTCGTTTACAAGATGAAACTTGATGCCACATTTATACTCGTATTAATATAACGCAGCACTTAAGCTACATGAATAACGCCATCCTAATAAATACAGTTATTAATCAATAAGCACGATTCTGCAGCTTAAGAAGGTATTTGCGTTAAACTCCCATTAAAAAAAATTGTTTACATCTAGTTTGTTCTTCCTTCCTGCATAGCAAATATTCATTATACATTGTATCGTTATTTAATATATCAGCGTTTTTCGATTGTTTTATTTGCCAATAGAAAATTGGTTAGGCACAGAATTCATAAATATTCTCTCAGTTCTTAAATCTACCACCAAATCATGAGGCATTGCGTTTCTCAAGTGAAGATTATCAAACTGTAGCGCAATAATAGAAATAAAATATGTGGAACGGACTTAAAAAATTACTCATCACAAACTTTGTTGCAATTATTTATTACGTATTATAAAGTGTAAAGCTTAAACTTTTAAGTAATATTAATAGAAAATACAAAAAGTTTTTCAATATAATTTAAACTATTGAATTAGTTACTATATCCTTTTTAATTTACTAATTTGACCTACAAGTTAATTAATAATTAATTTAAGTTGTTCATAATGTAAAAGATATTAACATGAAATTACAAGTTTCATTATACAAATTTTAACCTTATTAAGCATAACAATAATTATATTTTCACTGGTACTGTATCATTAAGAAATTAATTGATAAGTGTATTATTTCAACGTTTTACATGATATATGCAAAAATTAAATGCCACATGAAATGGTGAGTCACTCTTTCACAACTATGAACTTCACGTCTACGACTTTGCCGCTATTTTTGTTAGAGAATTTCTTATCGTTCTAAATCGATAATGATCATTTATGATATTTAAACAACACACACAGAAAAAAAACCGATAACTGACACGCAGAGCAAGTAAGGATTTTAAAAAATGTAGAAACACCTCTGCCTCACAGATAACCCTGTTATACTTGGTGATGAGAAAGAGCGCGTTAACGATCTAAACCATATTTGTATTTTGTGTGTTTGTAAAAATGTATTGTCTTTTAAAATTTGGGCGTAAACGTGAGTATGAAAGTCTGTGCTTCATAGTGCATCCCGTTAGGAAGTAACAAATCTTTTTTGCAAAAAAAAAATTCGAAAGTATGGAATACCTTATTTCCCGAAAAGTATATATATATCTGTTTGTATATATACATATATATAAAATTGAAATATAATATACACATATATATAGCGAAACAGATAGTCGTACATAATCCCGTAATTTTGACTCTCACCGAAGAAATCATTCGTATTTTTTGTGATAACCACTTACAAGTAGTTCTTTGTTCCCAGTAAGGGTCTAATATTAACAACAGTTGCATTTATATCTAACCTGCTTCACTGTCGCTTGAATCGGTGGTCGTTGAAGAAAGCGAACTACTGCTGGAATCACTGTCGCTGCTACTGCTGCTCGACGCCGACAGTCGTGAAGGTCCACTGGCACCACCAGTTCCAACTACATCAACGGACTTACTACTGTCTTCTATGAAAGGCACATACAAAGAATTTTGTTATTACCACACATTTAGAAAATCTTCGAGTGTACATTTAAAGAATCCTTGATTCATTTAGATTTAGAAACTACTAAATTCTATTGAAAAAATTAATCAAATGCTAACCTTTCTTGGCAGTTTTCTTGACGTTTCCTAACTGCCCCGTTACATCTTGTAACCTCTTCTCTAATTCTTGTTTCTTTTCTGCCATCTGTTCATCCTTGGACTTACCACTGACTTTCTTGTCTGATAACATATGATAAAATAATGTATAAATATAAAGGAAGTTCATTTGTATCATAATTATGTGTGTGCACACGCACGTATATGTAAAGTATATTATAAAGATATTGCCAATATCGAGTAAATTTAAAACTAAACTTACTAGCATTTTGTAAAATAAAACCGTTTATTTTTATTAAAGATAAATATAAATTTATACACATATTAGAAATATTAGAATTTTAATATAAGTGAATCATATATTGCAATTAAAACCTATATTATATATATAATTTAATTGTGTCAAACTTGTATAACAGCATATCGCGTCATTGGTAAGTGACAATTCAATTTTATAAACTCAGAGTAAAATTAAAAAGTTCATAGAAAAGCTTACGTGGCTTCTTTCTGAGACATGATGCAACATAGCTCTCCAGTTCTCTAAGCGTTGATGGCTTCAATGTCTCGAAATCAATTTCGATTTCATCTGGGTTTGAATCCCTTAGTGAAGGCTCTCGAGACTGTATTATGTGTACAACACGACCTAATTTATCACCTAAACAAAATAAAATAATTAAAAAATAAACTAAAAAGATTGATATATTTAAGATTTTCAGTTGTTTCCGTCCTTCACATTAAAATTTATGAAACAGATAAATTTATATAATATTAACAACAAAAAAGTTCGAAATTAAATTTCAAACACACTATCATAATAATAATTTTTCAAATTAGACAAGAAAGATTTTACATTATTTATTGTAATATTGTAGTTAATCTACTATGTCTGATCATCTACTAGTAAATAGTTGCTATCTTGAAGATCTTTATATTATACATTTCTTTGTATAATCTTTTTATTATTCAACCTTTTCCACATTTTTAATACGATTAGAATTTAAACACATACCTGGTAGTTTATTAATATCCAAGCTGAGCTGCCTCTTCTCATCGTAAGACATTGGTTTAGCATTATCTTCATCTTCCGAATCAAACGTGATCGGAGGTGGTTGATTGCCAGCATTTTTCTTCTTATTTCCAGTAGATCTGCTGTTAGCCTTCGGCCTTTTGGTCGCGGTATTCGCAGTTGTGGCAGCTTTTCCAGGTCCCCGGCCTTTACCTTTTGGCTTAGCATTCGCCGCTGCTGGTAAATGATGTCCCAAGCTTCCTGCGGCATGAGTCTTGTTAGGTCCTACTGCTGTGGTTTGATGGTGAAGATCGCCAGCTATGCCACCAGGCATTTTCAAATCGCCTGCACCCATCGCAACACTGGCTATACTAGCACCAACACTGTCGGACACATTGGGAATACCACCACTCGGTTTCATAAGTTCTTTCATGGCACCAGTATGACTGGCAACAAGGCTGCTATTCTTATTGCTCATTGGCTTCGATTTTGGCTTATCCGGTTTCTTCTTTTTATTTTTCTTCTTACCACTCTCCTCCACTAATTTCCTCATTTGCTCTTGCATAGCTTTCAGCTATAAAGTAACACAAATTATATTACATTTTTAGAGAGGGAGAGATATAGTAATTTTGTAAGGTTTCGGTACGCTCCTTGGAAAAAGCGCCGTGTACAAGCCGAAGGGCGTATACACTGGAATAAACTAACTATATTTTTAATCACACGTTTGCCTGTAATTTTATTTAAAAAAAAATATATATATACCTCTTGCTGTAATTCAAGTAATTTCTGAGTACGTTCCTCAACCGAATCATCACTATCGGAAGAACTGTCTCCTCCAGAACTGCTAGCACTACCACTGCTGCTTCCTTTCATAGCAACCATACTACTACCCATCGGTTCATCCGGAACTTTAGCATATCTAATTATGTGTGCAATTATACAATTATATTATGCTTCTCTTGTGTATTTTAGATTCCAGTTAAAAAATTTTTCAACTACTAACCTCATTTCAAATATATCTTGAAGTTTTCTAGCCATTGAAACAACGTCATGATCGGGAGGGTTATATTTGTAACAATTAGTAAATATAAGTCGTACATCACTCGCAAATTCGTGCGCTGTTTTATATTGACGATTATCCATTTTCGTCTGTAAAAGAACGTTAGATATTTTATATTAAAATAGTCGGACTATCTAGTCTAGTTATAAAAACTAATAACGCAAAATTTGCGATAATTTATAATTCTTAAAATGTTTGAGAAGTTTTATAAGTTTAATTACGTTTTGTACAATGTGTGTAATTATATTACGCGTAATAAAAAATACATACCTTTACTGTACCAAGATCCATAGGTTTCTTGATAATCTCATGATAGTCATGAAGGCCTAGAAGGTCTGCATCAACAGGTTTGTAAAAAGGCCAAGCATAGGGCTGTATATTATAAAAAAAAAAGATTAAATTATATGAACCAGCACTATACTGTTTGCGTTAGCTTGCCATAGATGAAAAGAATATATCTCAATTACCGAATGTTTCTTCGCGAAAAGTTCTTTCAAAATGTCATTGCAAGACTTTAGTGCTTCAGACAATTTTTCTTTCCCTTTGACACCAGCATGCGGAGGCTAAAAAGTAAGAAAAACGGCGTGAAAAACAATTCTGACATACCAAATTGTAATTTATTTTATTTAAAAATAAAGTTTCCTACAGAAAATAGATTTTAGCTTATTTGTTTAATACACAAGATGTATATTCAAGAAATAAAAAATATATTAAATTTTGTAACTTGTCTTACAGTAAGATTTTCATTATAAATCATGCCATAGAATATATAATTTGTGTCGTTTAATATAGGTCTGACAATTGTCGCCTGATAGATGATGAGACAACACAAATGAAAGGAAGGAATATGAAGGAATAGTAATAAATGTACCTGTTGGGCCATTGCCCCCATAAGAGGCATATTGGCCTGATGGTATGGCACTAAGCCGTCTTCCGCTTGTCTCGTTGGCTGAAACAGCCACGATATGAATTGTTTAAATTGTCATTTCACGATGTCATATTATTTTATTAATCGCCAATCGGTATGATTAACGTAATTAATGAAATGATATAAGTTTAGATGCGAGGGACAAGGAAGTTTATCATGTATTATGATCATGTAAAATATAATAATCTGTTCCAACTTCTTGTAAAAAGATATGCCGATAATAAAGTTTAATTTACTTCAGTATAGTGTTTTTCTATGTTTATTGTATAGCAATTTTTTATGTATAATAAGTATAAGAATTTTCACTTTGTGATGAAATGAATGTATTAAAAACTCAACAAATTAAACAAGTAAATATAGTTAGATGCAACATTTATTATGTCATGAATGATACTTGTCACCTGTATAAATCTATCATATTTTACAAGTGTATCACACAACTCGTATCTCTCTTTAGTGCTCTCGTCATTAAAACACAAAGTATAGTGATAAAATGCGAAGAGTGTACACTCACCTTCTTAATTTGCCTGCCAGATTCCCTTCTCGTAGGTATTTTGGCATTCTTGGACTCCATAGGTGCATACAACGGATCAAACGCATTTGCAGTAGGAGTTGTGGTGTCGGCTTTTCTTTTAACTCCTTTTTTGAGTTTGGCAGGCTGCGACGGAGGCATTACCGTGGGAGTCGTAGGGACTTGTGGAGGTGGAGGTACAGCAGAAGCTGTTTGAGAATCCATTGCTGGCTGCGCATGGTAACCCGTAGTTGGAGGGACAACTTGCTGAGGCAGAGAATTGTGAGTAGCCATTGGTGTGACACCCATACTTGAGGGTGGAGCGATGGTGGTTGTATTCGTGCTTCCAGGTACCGAAGCTGGTGCTTGAGTGCCAAGAGGTGGCATGGGTATAACCCCTGTTGTTCCAGCCGACGTGGCGGAAGGTGTTAAACTATTCGGCACGCTAGAAGTGACAGCAGCTGCACCCGAAGCTGGTCGTCCTCTACCTGCTCCTGTACCCCCAGCTACGCCACCTACTCCTGGTCCGCCAACTCTTCCAGCTTTCTTGCCTTTGGGTCCTTTCGGGACAGGTGGATCTAATTCCACCTCTTCCTTCGGCATTTGTGCAACCTAAAACATTATTACAGTACCGTTTTACCTAATAAAACGATATTTTATTCATAAATGTGTGCCTTTGTCCAATTCTTTTAATGTTTTCCTAATGTTAATATATATTATCATTTAACAGATAATACAGATAATACGGAAATGTGTTATCGTAATGAGAAATATACCTTTGTAAGAAACAATTTTTCGAGAGCCTGTGCCATAACCACAACATCCTCTCCTGGTTTGTTGTAGACATAACAGTTGGTGAACATGGTATTGAAATCCTGAATGCATTCTTTCCCACTCCAGTAATACGAATTCTCCAACCGCTTTTTGATTGTGCCCAAGTCCATTGGTTTTTTGATGATTTTGTGATAGTCCTTTTAAATGAAAAATGCGTTTAACGTAAAAGTAACAAGCATTTTTACAAATTAATGTATACTGCGTATGTTAATTTATAACATTATTTGTAATATTCTACCGATGCAATCTTAACGTACCGGTAAATTGAGTTTTTTCGCATCGACAGGTTGTTGGAAGGGCCAGGCAAATTGGTGCTTCCATACTGGCTTCAAAACGCCTTTTTGCAAAAATTGCAACTGGTTCGTAATACGTCCAGGACGATTCGGTGGTGGAACAACCGGTGGTTGAACTATGCCATTCACCGGTTCCAAAGGTGGTTCGTCCCGTGGAGGCGGTTCCTTTGCAGGACTCGCTGGCGTAGTTGAAGCCTTGCCAGGTGTGCTCGACTAAATTATTCATTATTTTGTTACTTACATATAAATAAATGATACATCTTTCGATTATTTATGCATCTACAGCAGTATTTTTACTTGTTAAGTAAGAAATATAGTATAAGCACATCAACATTTTGCAAACTATAGAATAATTCCATTTAACACGTTCGTTGTGCATGTCTCGGATCCGGAGAGCCGGTGCAAAACTTTTACGATACGACTCGGACCTGTGTCATAGTACATTAATTGTTCGCGGTACTTTTGTAATAATTCATGTACAGCACATTTGTACAAGTTTTACGGTATAGAAATAGATTTTGTATGAAATTATTTGCTAGCATGGCACAGGTAATGAAAATCCAATGAACAGTAAACGTGTTAATATTGATATTCATACGTCGTTAATTTTATGTCAGTATCATGCAATTAGATTAATTGCAACTTGTATGCAGTGTTCTCAGATGTATTTTAAACTGTATTTTCAACTACTGTATTAGCAGACTTATGTTTAAACGTTTATGGCACGTTTCATTTATGCCAATTTCTACCAATGCAGATTTAACTTTGATCTCGATTTAAATTACTTCTTTTTCTAATTCGTAAAACTAGAAAAAGATAACTAGATAAAGTAAGTTGAATAGAGATTAAAGTTAAACTGCGCTAGTAGAAACGGGCATTAGACTTTCAATTATTTTTTTCACAATCTATTTTGATAGAATATATTAATTTTTGTTAGATATAAATAAAAAATTAGAGCAACAGTGAAAAGATGTTAAATGAAATAAATAAATAATTCTAAAAATTATTAAAACCGAGTTAAATTTGGCCGATTTGACTTTGCATTAACGGTTGTCTTTGACAATAGTTCTTGCTCGTTTTACTTGGGACACAGGATCATCAAACATAATAATATAACAATAGAGATAATAAAGATTTATTATTTATTTTTCAATAGAAAAATGTTTGTCGTTCAACTTTGGAAAGAAATCCCGAAAGAGGATACTATATCTTAGTTTTTTCACGGTACTCCCAGCTATATCTTTTCTCGTTTTCCTTTGAATTTCCATTTCTATTGTTATTTTTGATGATCCTGTGTCCCACGTGGCAACCATGACGAAAGATAACCATTAAGGCTAAAGCAAATCGGCCAATAGCAGGTAAGAAAGCTAAATCGTAATCGTATATATTCGAAAATTCTGTGCAAGGCATGCTGCCTTAAGAAGATAATAGGGGTCTCGAAACATGTTTGCCCATGTGAGTCAGGTCAGGTCAGTTTCCTATTTTCCCCCTTGAAGCTCAATTAGTTTTCTGACTTTCGCACCAAAAGCCGATATATTCACATAAAATGTATGCGAGTGCAAAAAAAACCTTATTCCACCAATTAATTATTAAAAATTACCATACGTTCTATAGATACATTTGTCCTATAATTCACACAACAGTATTTTACATAGCACGTGGGCTGCCAGAGCAAATATTAAAATTGATATATGTATTAAACATTAATTTTACTTGTTTTTTCTTTAGTAAATTAATATATATTTATTTTGTGTCCATTGCAACTAAAACAAGAGGACATATCAACTTGATAACGAGCAAACCTAACGTATTTAACTGCGTCTTCTAACGACTATATACGACTTAAAGAATCGAGCTTTGACCTTCTCGCCCTCCTACCAATTCATTAGGCATCTTACTTGCACTTTTACCTAACGCTTTTGTCCCTTCGTTCTCGAATGTTCTCGTTCGAGAACTATTCCAGAGTTTTCGTCGTTTTGGATACCGAGCACAAGTAAGACGAACACGCTTAGAAATCTCCGCCCCGACATTACAAAGAATCTAAGTTCGAGACATATATTATCAATTGTTTGTGCAACCGTACATCATGTACAAATATTATTTCTACATTCATCATTTTTCTGGAATTTTTACAACTTGTAGTCTTATACGTATCTCCACTATTTTGTGGAGAAATTTCAATGGTCAATATTTTTCACCTACAGATAATGTTAGTACTGTTTATTTAATGATTCACGCGACTTTACCAGCGTAAAAGATAAAATTCTTGTTGATATAGGAAATACAAATAAGGGTACAAATATGAAATCGATTTAATGGGGTTCGAGATGTTTTGTAAAATTAGATACGCAGCATTCTTTTTCTTTTTTTTATTGTGTATTTATGTACTTTTTGTCCGTTATTATATGTATACAATGAAAATCGTTCTTCTATAATCATGAGACACGGTAGTGTCTCGCGCCAAGTATAAGCTCGCTAGAACCGCGCGCGCGAGACCGACCGTGTGGTTTACGCGAGTACGCGAGTTTTACATATACATGTATCTTTATATATATAATTATACAAATTATACATAATTTGGATTCTATTCAAATAATCCAATTGTAACAATAACAAAAAATAAAAAAACATGCTAGGAATAACTCAATATAGGCCTGCGTAAAACAGTATCACAGTATTACATTTTAATCGATTGATTATACTTGAAATAAATTTGGTATCAATACCGCGCATTTTAGATTAATAAATAAAATAAATAAAAAATAATTACACATTTATGTTTAGTGTTCGTGAATAAATACTATCTTTAAAAATCAAGCCACCAAACTATCATACTATTATACATAACATACTTGTTAGATGCCACATTGTTTCTATTTTTGGGCTTTCTTAAGCTAATAAACTAATAGATATATTGCATCATATAAATCGGAACAACACGAACCTGTGAGGAATTTATTAAAAAATTTGAAAAAACAAATTTACCGATAAAGAAAATACAAAGTGATTTAATACCCTAAGTAAAATAAATCAAGAGTTACGAGTAAAATTTATTGCAAGTAACATTACAAGTTTTTTAACGTAATTCTAGAAGAATCCTAAAAACAAAAGAGAGAAGGTTAAAACTACGCGTTATAATCTTATAAAGAGAATTAGTAACAATCGAAATATTAATTACCATCCATGGAGTATCCTCGTCAATCAAATTTAATGGAAACTCCATATTCGAAGAATCAAACAGTAATTCTGCAGCCCACATATCAATTACCATGACAAAAATTGTAATAACTTTTATTGCACTGAACAATTTTTATTGCACCAAACGTACGGTTTAAGATTACGGCCTAGTCGCGACTGTTCATTTTGACGGTCCGCGTCCAAATGCGAGAGAACGAGGCTCCGAAGCTCCGAGGTCCAGAGATCTGTTAGTTATCCCCACCAACGTGTTTTCTGTAGAAGGCGGAACTAATCCTTTCGTAGACCCTTATACAATATGTCAGTATGCCCACACAGCCCAGGGCCCAAGGGTATATACTTTTGGAATCTGTATGCCATATTTCAGCAATAATGTACCGTTAAACACAAAGGTGTCCTTTTCCTTCAAATTCCGCTACCTGATTTTTTTTTTGGAGGAAATGACTGTGCAAACACGTCAAGGAAAAATGAGAGGTAAAGAATTTCTTGTTGAACGCAGGTTCGAATATTCGGAAAAATGTTAACGATCCTCACGTCGGTCAGGCCAATTTTCAACGATGGAATTTGGTTCTAAACCAAAAAAAACGAACGTGTCACTTGCATCGTGGGTTCTAACAATAAAGCATGGAAAATAAATAAAAAATGCAAGGACAGAGAACTTCTTTTGAACGCAGATTCGAATATCCCGGAAATGCTTAGGTCTCACGTCGATCACGTCAACTTTGGCAATGGTATTTGGCTAAAAAAATAAAAAATAAAGATAGAAAATTAAAAATAAGAAAGAGAGAAAATAAGAGACAAAAAGCTCCGGACAGTTATAACAGTTGAATCGTATCTTGCATTTCGAAGGTGGAACTAGCGTGGAGAACGAAGAAAACGCGCAAGGGTAGATTTCTTTAGAACGTTCGTTTCCAACATTTCGGAAATACCTGGATCTTACGTCGGCCACGCCGACAACGGTACTTTGGATTATAAAAATTATAAAAAAGAAAAAGAATGTAATACTTGGGAAAGAAAAGGAAGAAAATAAGAAACATAAAAAAAGAGATAAGGGCCCGAAGATTTATAACGGTAGAACCGAATCTTTCTCATTTCGAAAGTGAAACGAGTGTGCAAAATATAATAAAAGGAAAGCGCAAGGGACAGCGGACTTCTTTTGAACGGCCGTTCGGACATTTCGGAAATACCCAGATCTCGCGTCAACAATGGTGCTTGGCTGTAAAACGGAAGGAAAAGGAAAGAAAGAAAATAAGTAAGTTCAAAAGGAGAGACAAAAGGGTCCGGGCATTTGTAACGATAGCAGAGCCAAATTTTTCATTGCGAAAGTGAAACGGGTGTTGGAAAACGAAGGAAGAGCGCAAGGGACCTTTTCTCGTCATACTATAAATATCCGAAAAGGAATTTCAAGGCTCTCCGGGCAGATTTTTTACAATAGATCGAACAATACGAAAGGATCTGTCCTGTCTCAAGTTACCAGGCCGTAATTTTTGGAGGGAAAACGATCGGGGAAACCGAGCAAAGTGCGCTCGAGCGCGTCTGCTAATACGCGCGTCAACGCGCATGCGCGGAACCTATCCCTCCATCTGAGAACGCTGCTAGTATAACATGTGCGTTTACGTTGCATTTATGCGGAATATTAATAGCTAAATATGTATCAATTAATACAACCTACGGTACCACATTAAAAAAGAAATTCCACAGGGGACCTTTTCTATGATAATGAACGGAAAAAAAACAGTTCTCTAAATAATAAAGGAAAAAAAAATTCTCGTACAATATACACGTGTAAACTATTAATGGAATGCATTGTAAGTTAATGACCTCATCCATGCAACGAGCGAATTAGGCTGCTAAATATTTAATTTCCATAACCACAGGCAAGCGAATATTCGAGTATCTGCGTAATAAGAAAATCGCCGCTAGAGATCACAATTTAAAAGCGAGAATTTAGAAATGAAATACACTGGCAGCTCCGTGCGGCTCATGCAAAGTTGCCGGAAAAGAAATCTCCGTGTCGTGTTAAACCAGAAACAATTTGTAGCGATAATTGAAACGGAGCATTAGGCGTTGCATTAAACGGCGTGTAAGCTACAAGTACTGATATGGAAGAAGGTTTTCTCGATGCTGCGCGAGTGCTGTAGTGAGCAAAGCGAAAAAACAATCTTGCCTCTCTACGATAATACCAATAACACTGATTGTAACGGTGTTTCGAAATACTTTTTGTACCGTCGAATTTTGTTTCATCTCGTATCGCAAAGCTAATATTTACTTCTGTAATCACGGCTGTATTATTTACTGGGTGGTGGCAGAGAACGAAGCAAGATTCACGTGGATTTATATAGATTGTTCGTAAGAGCGCGAATTATATTAGTTGCCAATTCATGTTTCAACGAGGTGTACATCATCCTAATCGAAACCATAGTCAGCAAGGTTTCTCACCTTCGGTATATTACACAGCCTTTCTCGCTCCTCCACATCTAACTGCAATTCATACATACTATTCAGTCAAACAATGCTCTCCTTTTAGCAACGTTAGAAGGATTTAACGTGGCAACGTTACGCGAGGGATGGGCAATGCAAAACAATTGGGAGTTGTGTCCAGACAGAGATTGATAAAAAAAAAATAAAATAAATGTAAAAGATATTACACAGACACGATCATGTAGCAAGGTGGTGATTTGCAAGATGTTACTCGGGACACAATATTAAACACGTAATTTAGATACAATCGTGGTCAGGAAGGTTGTCCGACGTTTCGTGATAAAATTTCGGAAATACAGTCTATCATGCGAGAGATTATGGCTTTTACTCACGGATATGTGCGGTGACGTATTATTAGAGCAAAGGAACGACATGTGTACGAATATCTATGCAATGATACATACGAACGTTCCGAAGACTTATTGTAAAACCTCGGACAAGCTTCCCGACCATGACCGTACATATATATCTCGCAACTCCTCCGAATTATTTGAAAAGTTAGCTGGAAGCAATCAGTGTTTGTACAATTTCACACGTTATGCCACGAATACACGTGGCGCTGTGTAATACGTAGTGGGTCCGAAACTGGTGGAGAATTGGTATTGGGCAGCACGGATGTATATTACAGGGATTGTAACGCAGCTCTCAAATGTAGCATAAAGTTAATAAAGCCAGCTGCATTCTGCGCTGTTGCACGGTGTAAGAAACCAAAATTTTAGCGCTAATTACTTACAGAATTGTTCTGCGAGATGGTGTCCACCTGCTGCATCTTGACTTCGTTTCTGCAACAGAAAGAGCGAGACGCGGTAAGCATCGTGAAGTAGAGAGACGAGAGCGGAATGAAAAAAAAAACAAAACAGAAATGTGTATATATCAATTGCATGGCAATTTCACAAAATATATCCGAAATACTTTGTGAAATCTAGCGTAACTTTGTAAAACAAGGAAAAGAGCCAGTACCGACAGTCCTAACTAACGAGCTACGCGAATGTATGTTCGACAAAAAGCACGTTATTACTTTCTTGCTCCGTTTGCATTTCTACGCTTGCTTTATCACCGAGAGACTTTTCTCGAATCTATTTCCAAGAGTCAATTCTCGCGACTTCACGGTCGCGCGCGTAAAGTCTAGCAAAGGGTTTCGACAGGCTCTGAACTCGAACGTATGCAAGGCTCGTTACGTTTCTCTTTTTTTTTTCTTTATCTATTCTTTTTCCCGCGTAATCGTTTATAATGTATGGCTCATCCACTTCGATACTGAGCTTCACCTACCTTTCCGACATATATGATACATAAATGCTACGCAGCAGGTAACTGCCTTACGTTGATGCTTGACGCTATGAGGCTTCATCAACAATTGAGATGGCAAGTATATATTCTGAATTGAGCATGGCAGCTCGTTAATTGCTTGCCAAGACGATTGCGCTGCGACCAGGGGTATTGGTGCCGTGGAGGCATAACACTACACAAGCCTACCGAGCGGTAGTACTTTGAATGTCAGCCCTGTATACTGCTGTACTCCGTACCTCCAGGCAAGACTCGCGACATTAGCAACATCTGGATAACATAACAATAGGACCCCATATTGTAAGCACCCCAAAAAATTGTTTCGTCGTTTTAGAGTGATTTGTTTGTTTTTTTTTTTACATCGAGACGCAGCTCTCGCAGGGAATTCATTATATTATTTAACATATCATGCAGAACTGAATTCTAGTGGTACATGCTGGAAAAGCAAAGATCTATCTCTTACTATGTTACTATATATTAACAGGTTACTCGGAGAAACGTGTGTGTGTGTGTGTGTGCGTGTGTATGTGTGTAAATTAATCTCCTCTTACACCTTACATTAATTTTCTTAAATACACTCGATATCGTACATTAACGTGGCAATCTAAAATGATCTACATGCTGAACGTTATACCGATGCAACGAAGAGTCCTGAAGATATTACAATCATATTGTGCTGTTTCAATAAAATGCTTAATCTCTTCAGGTTGTTCGTACAAGATATTTGAAAAGAAGATGCAGTCTTCTCACAAGATCGACGTTTCAAGGCTGGCATCACATTCGTCGCGCGACACGTTCTTCAAGCGTGTTGACGGGCCGCTGAATAGAAAATTTCGAGAGAATTTTAATATCCCGCGGCCAACCGGCACGCTTAACAAAATTGTCGTACGACAAACGTAATACCAGCCTAACGCTATATTTACCCGATACCGTTCGAGGCAAGTTGGTATTGTGAATCTCCTTCCACCTTAACACACATATATATATACACACTGTTGTGGAAAAAAAGGGATATTTCTATAGATATGCATAAACTAGAAGATATTAATCTATACGAGTCTAATGCCTAACTTATCTCTATGAAAAGGGGACGATTAGAGTCTCGTACAGAGAGACGCAACCGGGGCTTCACGAGGGAACGTACGAACATCACGCTCGGCGCCGCGACGACTCTCCGTTCCCGAGAGCGCGTAGGAGAATTCACGGGCTCGAATCCGGAACTGGACGCGCAAGATTCGGCGCTCCTCGGCCCCGGAGCTCCACGGCGGTCGGGGACGAGCCAAAATGGAAAGTTTGACCGAGAAGTGGCACAGATAAGTGTTACGCCGGTATAGAAAGCGAGGAGAGCCTGTTGAGACGTTGTAAAATTGACAGTGCGGCGACGCAGGGGAGGACCGTGCGTCGCGCCGCGTCTACGACGACCGCGGACGAGGTGCTCCGCGGAGAGGATCCCGCGCCGGGGTATCAGGGGGCAGGCAGATAAGAGATCTCGCGCTTGGCGCGAACAGGTGCTCGAAAAAGTCCGCCGAGGTAGGAGCGGAGAAAGGCGAGATCCACGGGCGAGACGCGAGCGAGAGAGAAAGAGAGAGAGAGAGAGAGAGAAACAAGTGTGGCTGGCGACAGCGGCAGCGCCGACGCCGACGGCGACGGACGACGACGACGACGACGACGACGACGATAATGATGACGATGACTTCGATGGCGAGGATGATAATGATAACGGTAACGATAGCGATAACGATTACGGTGACAGCAGCGACGGCAACCTGAGAGCCGCGAGGCAGTGGACGAGCCGGGGGGGAGGGGGGGGCGAGGGGAGTAACAGCGGATCCGCGCCCAGCGGATCCGACGCACAACACAAACACGAGCGAGCCGCCGCGCGGACGATCCGTCCCCGTCCGGCTCGGCAGCCGAGCGGACCGACTAACCGCGGCGACTGGCGCCACGGAGGGAGAGTGAGAGAGCGAGCGGGAGAGAGAGACAGAGATGACGCCGTGAGAATTTCACGACGTACGGGGACGGGGATAAGCGCGGCGCGCGCGGTAACCCGGGCACGGGCCGCCTCACCGGACACTCGGATTCGGCGTAGGTCTCAACATGGCGGTACGCGGCCACTCGGAAAGGAAAGCTCCCAAGGGCCCGCACCGCGACGTAGCGGCACAGCCGCGGAGCGCCGTGTTCTCTCATGCTCAGCCGCTACCGCTGCCGCTGCCGCCACCGCCACCGCCACCGCCGCTGCCGCCACCGCCGCCACCGCCGCCGCCGCCACGGCCGTAACGCGCCACGCGCGCTTTACACCTACAACGGGCGGGCGAGAAACGGAGAGGCTCCTCCGAGCTCCCCCGGCGTCGCGCGCGCGATCGCTTACCTGATCAAAGACGGAAATCCGGTCTTCCCGCACTCGGGTACTCGCGCGATCGCAAAACACTAGCCACTACGGGGACCTCCCGGGCCAGCTCTCTCGCGCGCGGGCACACTACGCTTTCTCCCCTCGCTCGCCTTAGTTTCGTCGGGTCGACTCGGTGTTATGGCCGCCGCTGTGCCAGAGTAGCGGCCCCACCGTGCGTGGATCCGCGCGTATCACCGCACTCACTCTCACTCGCGCGCGGGGCCGAGCGCGAGGGCTCGCGAGCGCGCTCGGGTACGCGTACGCGAACGGGACGGGGACCGAGACGAGAGGTACGCGGAGACGACGCGCGGTGTCCCGACCCTCGGCGCACAACGAGTCCACCACAGACTTACGGCGCGCGCCCGTCCCTCAGCGCACAGACTCGGCGACGCGTATCAATGGTCCGCGCCGTGCCCGGTCGACGTTGCCCACGAGCTCCGCGCGGTCGAGTCCCTTTCCGTGCCCATGGCGATCTCGGATCTAGAAACTAACGATCGCAGCACCAACAATGGCTACGCATTCTTCCGCGACGTACCAAAATGGTCCCGTTCCGCCGTTCCGCGCGCACGACCCGTCACCGTCTCCGTCTCGTCTACCTCGCCGAGCGCGCCGCCGACGACTAGTGGCGACGCCCTCCGCCGCCGCGCCGAGCGCGCCAATTACGAACCACCGCAGCGACGCCTGACGGCCCGCGCTCTCTTTACCGGCGACGATACGGGGATCTATCGTCGATATCGCGCCTATTCAACGACGACGGCCGCGGGGGCGTCGCTCTTTCCCCCCGAGCAGCCCTTTTTTCCCTTCCTGCGCCGCGAATTCGACGTCGGGACCCCGTGCCGCCGGGGTGGCGTCCACGCGGCACGGACACGGCGTGCGAGAAGCTTCTAGAAACGGTTCGCGCGGAGACCCGGGTCGAGCGTAGTCCGGGCCGGCTCGGGCAACGCTGGCCGCGAGGCATTCGGCGACGTCTCGCTACCTGGCGAGACACGGACAACGGAAATGTGTATCGGGGACTGGTCGTAATCTTTATTTGCGCATATATACGTGCAGGACTTTCGTCAGCCAATGCAAGAGTCGGCGGTTAATTTCCGCCGTTCCGTGTTCACCCATAATGCACCTCTCGGCGAGGACGGGAAACGGAATCGGTAGCTCGCCGACTGCGGCGACGAGTTTCCCCGATCGCCGGCGGTACGTCCCGCCGCGCCGTCGCGTAAACACGGCGGTCGCGCGCTCGCCGACCGTACGCCGGCTCCTCGCGCTCTCGAGCTCTCGCCGCCGGGACGGAGCGACGGTCCGATTCCACGGGTCTGCCGTTGCCACGCGACGCATCATGGGAACTGCGCGATACGCAAAATCCATAATTACCGACCACGGAGCTACCGACTGCGCGTCCCCGTGGCGGCCCCCGCGGCCGAGGAAAGGCGCGAGGCCGGCCGACGCGAATCTCCACGTGGTATCGCGTCGACGTGCCGCCGTGACGTGGTGACGCCGCGCCGCGGACGTCGCGTCGCGGTTCCGTTAGCGCTCGTTCAACATGGCGACACGGGAACGATCGATCTCCCCCTCCCTCCCCCCCCGCCGTCCTCGCGCGATCAGGCGGCGTGAGAGACGTGCCGAGCAAGCGGGCGCGCGCGGGAGTCGCGGGACGTGCCAGTGCGCCTCGCGAGCCCCGGGTGCGTCCACCGGACGGCGGCGAGTCAGGTCGCCGCGGCTCCCGCCGGCGCGACGCGACGCGTCGCGCCGCGTCGGACGGAGTCGTGGACGACGTGAACTCGTGACACACGCCACTACGGGAGTCAAATGGAGCGCCCGGGCCGCCGCGGCGGCCGCCCGTCCCGCCGGCCGCACGATCGCCGGGGAGACGCGATAATTCCCCGGGCGACTGACTCCGTCGGCTCCCCTCGCCGGTTACGCCGGTCGACTCCCGGCGACGCGCCGTCACGACGCGGCGACGGCGTCGCTCCTCGGCGCCGCAATATGGCGATCCCCCGCGTGCGTGCGTGCGCGCGCGCGTGTGTACGTGACACGCGTGCGCGCGCGCGCCAACTCGGGACCCCGACCACTACCTCGCACTGACTCTCACTAGGAAGCGCCGAGCGACGCGGAAATCCCGGGGCGTACGCTCGGACTCGGCGCCGAACGGCGACGAGGGCGGAGAGCGCGGAGACAGCGGGATCGCCCTTGATATTCCTGACATTGACGAGAACCCACCACTCTCCGCTCCGATGACGCAATGAAACGCGAAAGCGGGAGGGGCTGGGAGGGGTGCGCGGGCAGGGGGGCGGAGGGGGGGTGAAAAGGGGATAAAAAAAGAGGAGATACGTACGTACGGCGATAGGTATACGCGACGGTGCGTCGGACTCTGCGCGCTTCGCTCTTTCCTGCCGCCATTTAACTTGGCGTCCCGCGCGCCGATTGGCGCGCGCCCGCGGCGTCCCTCTGACGCGGCCCAATCGCCGATCGGCGCGCCGATTATTGATGAGTCATCGCGCCCGCGATACGGCGCGCCGGTACCTGGGCGCCGATACGAAAGTAACGGTAAACGGTTCTTGTCGAGCCTGGCCGGGGCCCGGAATTTCGGCATTCCTCAGATTTGTTCCTTTTGTTTTGTTTTTTTTCCAGACGATAGCCCGTCAATACGAGCGAGAGTATCTTGTTTGCACTAGATAACGCGCGGTATCTGACAGCACGATACGAGGAATTCTTGGGGCATGACTTGGACTGTCACCCGAAATTTGTTATCTAGGGCTGGCCAAATACAGCCATGGACAAAATTGTTAGGCATCTTCTTCGTCATTACGCTGCAAATCTAATACCCATGCGGCACAGAAAGCTAAAATAATGTTGTTGAAACGTTGCAATGTTGAATGTTGAAGTATATCTTTTCTACGTTGAATCTATCTGTAACTGTGACCTAACTCACAAGATTTCCAATGTACAGTGTACTGAATCGAATACTAGAAAATTTTTTATTGTTTAAAAGTCGTTTACTGTATAGAAGCAATGTATTTTTTTAAATAGAAATTTTTCAGGTATTAGAGAGATTCAGTACAGTATGACTAGAAGGGTGCCTAATGAGTTCGGATGTTTACATATGCGTAGAGATAACGAAAGTATTCGGGAGTGAGAAAACGCTGCGGCATATCTCGAGCACGTATTTATTATCAAAGTAAATCGGTCAACTCGGTTTTCGAACCTATGTTAATCGTTTTTCGAAGATGTGGTCCATTTCCTAAAATGAACTAGCACTAGATTAATAAATAGCTGCGGTTATCCTCTCCTTCGACTTTTTTCCCCGACAGACACAATTTGTGGAGATGAGACAAAAAACCTCTACGGTAAAGAAATTAAAAAAAATTGACGCATAAATGAATTGTATCCTTCGTAGACATCGACGGGGTAACTTGAACAGAAATGCAAACACGTGTTTCGTACGTGATGTTTATTCGAATAAATTGCATCGAAATTTGGACTTGATCGATCAAGCCAGATATACGATAGAGATTTTTCTCTTTCATCATTTTCGAATTTTAACAAATTAATATCCACGTTTTTCAATGGACGCGTGTTGCTTTCTTTTTCTTTTTAAGATAAGATACGCCGTAACAACGTATATAAAAAAAGACAATCTTGTGAAGGAGATAAAATTTGAATATCTTACAAAGTGATTTTTAATGTTTCCGATTGCCTCTTGTATACTTTCTAAAACTTGAAAATTTTTCCTAACATGTTCCGATCCCAAGTATCATGACTCGGCTACTCATATCGTATCTATTCCTTCCAAAGTCCTTCGTTTACTAATTTCTGAATTAATTTCCGATTATCAGAAATACATTTGATGTAGATATTTATCGTGTGACTACAAAAAACTGAATAAAGTACACAAAGATAAGTTAGAAATAAAAGAGTAAACATATAAATTTATTCTTATCTTTATCAATTTGGAATCGTACTTACAGTTTCGAAATCTTCACAAAATCGTAAGATACTTGGGAGATAGATGGAATGTTGTTTGTGATTCGGCCGTACTTAGATGACATTATTCCTTTCTTTCATACTATGTGTTTTACGATCGATACAAATTCCAAATGTTTATCAATTCACTCGAACACACTTGTACACTCGTCGCAACGTACACACATTTATTCGTCACCTTTTGCTAATTGCTAATTTCATCACATTTATGTTAATGAAATATATACATGTTAAATATTTATTCGAGAAAAACATTGAAGAAAAAGATAGGGATGGGACACAAAGTTCGCTGAAACATTGTTAGTGCTGCAACTCCTAATGGCGTTCTCGCAATTGATATAAATTCGAAATTAAATATACAAAACAGTTCTTTATTAGACAACTCCCCAAACTTCTTCAAATGCTGTACATAATTTACTACACGCGACGGCGCCCGAGAGAGGATAATTACTGATTGAGTAGGTGTCTTCCGTGTAATCCGTTTTGACCTACAAATAAACGAGAACGTAAAGTATTTGTAATATAGCTTTTGAGAGATACAATAGTAACAATGCTATTTTAATAATATGTCATTTACTTGGCCGTGCGCCATAGCTCCAACTACAATAGCAATGGGATCTTCTGCAGGTACCAGCTCTCGCGGATTCAGCACTTTATTTGCATTAAACGACATCAGTATTTTACGACAACCAACTGGTAGGTGATTCGTAATAGGATTCTTGATGACTTTAAGAAGCTTCATTGGTCCATCCGATGCTCTGACGCCGTATTTATGTAATAATTGTACTGCAATAAAATATTTAATACATTAATAATGAATCTATTCGATGGAGATATATCTAAGTTTATGCAACTTAGGTTTATATAATTTCTTTTATACACAACTTTACTAAAGTATGAGTAGAAAGGATATTGTGTTCTACTATGTGGAAGTCACTTATAATACAACAGGCAATCGAGTGAAGTTTATTTAAAATTCATGAATAACAAGGAAATATAAGCCTCGAGAGTCAAACGCTATCAGTTGTGCGTAAGTTAACGCTATGAAACAACATTTAATTGTGGCGACCGTGGCGCAAGAAAACGTGTGTTGTTTCAATAATCCGCAGATCCAGGTTCAAATCCGACCGAGAATCAGCGGTTTTTATTCGGTCGCCGCCTCTCGGTGGAAAAGAACGACCCACCGAGAGTATCTTGCCCTTGAACGCAATCTCCCTAGCGTGATAATAAGACAAGGCTCTTCGTCAAAAAAGTGGGTGGCACCAATCGATTTATTGTCAGACACTTGAGTCCTCCAAGGGCTCTGCAATCACCCTCTCCCGTCCGCACGTATAGCATTTAATTAATAATTTGAAACATACTACAAATCGCGCGTTTCGGCTTTACTTTAAGCCATCTTCAGCAACGTGGTGGTAGATAAATTGAATATGTGGGAAAGATTGCCTAGTGCCGTGTCTCCGCAGCCCCTGCAACGCCGGGAAGGCTACCGTAGTGTGGTTTTAGCATAAAAAAGATAAATTAAATAATCTCAAACTCTGCGTTCATAATCACCCACACGAGAATAGGGTAATTGGGATTATCTACTCCAAGTAGCTTAGGTAATTATCAACTCTATGCTGAGTGGGTAATCCCAATTGCCATTTTCCGAGCTTCGTGAGTGATTAAGAACAAAGTTTTTTTTTTATATTTCTTCTTGAAAATTACATGCTTTGTACATTCAATTTTTAAATACTTCGCTTGTTTCATTGACCTATCACCGTGTCACTGAAGACGGTTCAGAGTAGAGCTGAAATGTGTTTAACTTTTGATAAATTATTAATTGAATGTTACATAGCGTTAATTCATGTACAACTAAGCGCGTTTGGTTTTCAAAACTTTTCTTTATCCATTAATTTTGATATAAAAAGTCTATAGTTAATTAAAGTCTGTCTACCAAATACATGATACAAGGTGAAAATCGATCATCCATATGTACCCATCAATCCAGCAAAGCGCTTGAACGTTCTCGGTATCCTGGTTTGTGGATTAATTTCTATCAGTACATTTTTTTCGGTATGTATGTAGACCTGCAGCAATCCAGCGCGATTCAGCGGGCTGTCCATCAACATTAACAGGCACTGATGAGCGATGTCCGGCCTGCACGTGCCTGGGTCGCGATTGTTTTTCCTCAAAATGTTTGTGTGATCATCGCAGTTGAGCAGCTCGAAGCTATTTCCAACCTGCGAACGTGCAAACTTGTGCTTATAGATGCCGAAAATTGAGATCGCGAATACAAAGAGACAATTAATTAACAATGAGAAGAGCACTTTTGAATTCCCGAGTATCAATAGACGCAAGAGGAAATAGATAACCTTACCTTCACAGATTCCAGCTGAGCATTCTCCAGTACGACGATAAGGCGCTTCTCTTGATTCTTGATGTGACCTACTTGCAAATGTTTAGGAGCTGGGTCGTATTCGTAGTCATCCTCGTCACGTCTTTTTCTCTTGTTTCCCATTTTGCACGTGTTTTAAGATAATTACTCGAGTCGATACACACACATGACAGAGAGAAGCCTGAGAGCGGCCACATCGTAGGGTTTACCTGGGACCGACTTTAGCCACCAAAAGTCGATGTAAGAACTACGGAGACACATCGATTATCGACACAGTCGATAAATATCACTTTTCGGTGCGTGTCCGTGCTAACACCCTGCATTTTTCAAGCGGGTAATGCAGTGCCCAATTTTGGTTGTGTTCCGTGCTGCATGCATGAAACGTCGGTAACACGAGAGCGCTCGAACGGTAATGCGACGCGGCCGCTCCCCACCGCCGCCGCTCATCGCCGCCGCGTCGCATTACCGTTCGAGCAGTCGGCGCGTACACCACGGGGCAACGTGATCGTTTCTCTTTACACCGATTGTTTCATACGCGTGTCAAATAGCACAATGAATAACTAGTAAACGGATTTGGTCACTGGCCGGTCAGCCGAAATACACTGTTTTATACGCGTATTAAACGATCGGTGCGAACCAGGCTATTAATTGTTCGCACAGAGCACGACACTGAACGGAGCGCGACGCTAAACAGAGCACACGATATTCGTACAGAGCGTACGTCACTCTAGAAAAAACACAGGTATGCGGCGGAGAGCAGACTGATAGTCCGTTTGCCCGTGAAAAACACCGAAACGGTTGCGCGTTTTTTGCTTGTTGCGCGTCGAAAATATGTTGTTTTTGTTATACCCGAGCGCGCGCCGAGACGTCCCCGTGTACCGCAGTAGCATTCGAGCCGCCGCGCCGCCGCGGCGAATGCCACGGGACAGTGTGCGCGCTCGTTCTCCGCGTAATAATTAAACGACGTCTTTCGTTTCTCGGGGCGTTTACTCGGCTCGATGTACGGGAAGCGGACCGCCGTATCGCCGTCTACCGTTGGCGCCTGCTGTGCCTTCGGCGGTGTATAAAATAGACGAAATAAATTGAACGTAACGTGGCTCGATTTTTCGTCAACGTGCGCATTCACGCGTTTAATTGCGCGAGCGATATCGAAGTGAGAAGTGAATCGTCGCGACTCGAGTAGTACCGCGTCGTGCCGCCAGAAACCTGCGCCATGTTGGAATCATTCGAGAAGCATCACGGGCGCGCAATGGATCGTTCTCCCGCGCCGACGGCCACCACGACGCGTTTCACGAAGCCTCGCACAACGGCGTTGTGTCCAATCAAGTTAGTAATCGCGCCGGTTCGACACTCGTGCGTCGACGATCCACCGAGACGCGTATCTCGCGAGAAGCCGGGAATCTGCCGCATCGTCGCGCGACGCGAATCCACCGGGCCTCGATTTCGGTTCGTGTCTCCTCGCGAGTGTAGAATTTCACGCGTGACGCGCGGCAAGAGAGACGTTGGCGCGAAATCCCGCGTTCACGCCCGCATTCGGTCGCCTTTCTCGGGGAAACGCGCGAGGTGAGCCCCGCGGTCCTTTTCGCCGAAACGTTCCCGTCAACTTGCGCGACGCCATCGATCGTGTTCGCGCGATCGCGTCTCTTGCTCTCGTTGCAATGGAGTCCGTGACGAATAGCGCCGGGAGTGACATTGTGTCCAATCAAGTTGGTAATCGCGCCGATCCGACACTCGTGCGTCGACGATCC